CATCACTGTTTAACGGAATAATGAATTATCTAATGACATACTCTCTCTCTCTCTCTCTCTATCTATCTCTATCTATCTATCTGTCTCTATCTTTTTCTCTCCTTCATTTGCTCTCGTGTCGATTTGCCTCGCTTCTGGAGGCTAATTATTTATCGGTCATGCAATCGACGTATCATGTACTATTCCAAATGGCGTGTTTAATATTTCTCTGAATATAACGCGTCTCTCGAGGTTGCAACTCATTAACTAAAACGTTGCGTACGCAACGAAGATAATGCAGCCTATTAGCACTCAATTTGTCGACTCGCGTATCATGCTGCACTCGTACTAATAATTTTGTTACTGTAGTCTACAATTCCAATGACGCACACACGTGAGACATATTAAAAAAGAACTGTGCGTTTTTTTTTCTTTCTTGTATCTTTTTGGGATTTTTATATTCCATTTCGAAATAAATTTAATGACCTGTAATAAAAGACCTGAATAAGAATATCAGAATAATTTATTCGAGAATGCGCGTTAATGCGATTTCTTTTCTCTGAGAAAAATGTAAAATTTAATTAATGTTTTTTCTCTCTAGTCTGTTTGACAGAAAAATATCTACTCTGCAACAGTCCGAAATGCATTCTTTCAAACTGATAAGTCCAATCTTTTTGTGTCAATCCCTCAGCCTTGCTCGACTTTTATTACGCTAACACGATGTTTTCTTGATTTCGGCAAATGACTTTATTATCCCCCATTAATATGATGCTCAGTATATACGATGGTTTAAGTTAAATTCCATCAAACTTCGCCTTTACGGGCTTTAATATCCCGATTTGTTTCTTTGCATGCCGAGTCCGTTCGTCACTTTTATGGGAGAACCATCATGGGATAACATACGAAATATATCAGTATATCTCGATTTGCTCGACAAAATTATTTATAAAATAAATAGAACAGTATATATGTAGAGAGAGATAATCTAGATTAAAAAAAAAGGTCTCTACAGCAACTTGATAACATTTTGCATGACGATACACGTGTGAACAACTCGGCTGTATAAGTCTTAAATAAAATCACAGCTATACAATCCGTCTGGACATTATCCTGAATTCTGCTTATGATTGAGCGGAAATTGGATCTACCGCGTTCTCTAAAGCGCTTATCATCGTTGACCTCGAGCACGTGTGTGAGTCATCTAAATTATTATATCCCGTGGAAAATCCGTAGTAAACGGTAAGAGAAGGTAGCAAGACCGCTTCGAGGAGGAGGTATACACGTGCTCGAGGCTCGTTTGTAGAGAATCGATTGACACACCTACGATTAAATAAGAAAGGGGGTAATCTTTTCAATGAGGCCAAGTGCCATTCCGTCCCTTGCTTAGCTCTCGACTGTGGTGGGTGGATATTGCGATCGATTCCACGAACTTTTGTTTGTAATTGATGTCCCCGCGAAGGCAATAAATATTCGTGCTTTTATCGTTGCTGTCTGAAATTCTGTGAAACGATAACGGTTACGATGACGTTAGTTTACTAATGTGTAACCGAAAGACCCTATTGATTCTCATATGAGCATGAAATATGCCTAATTAAAATTTAATGTGACGGCCTGCAGAGTATATTCATATTCTCAGATATAAAAATCGCAATCGCAACATCACTTCTATTTTTTTATTAATTTATCGTTATCAGATTAAAAATATTTTGTTTTTACACTTCAAAATATAAGAATTCTATTATATATTTATCTGTTTTACCTGTAATTTTTTCGTATCAAAAGATAATATTCTACGAGAAATTCTAAGAGAGAAAATATGAACAAAGAAAAGAAAGCAATTTAACTTAAACAAAATAAATAAAAGGAACACTTGCAATTTGCTCTAGACTGTCGTCCAGACGGCGCAATTACTAGAGAAGAAAAAAAAAATTGCCAGAGAGCTGCTGTAACTACGGGACACGTAGTCAGCAGTCAGGTGATCGATTTTGCATTCTGAGAAATCTTCATTTACGACTGGAAAACTCGCGAGTCTTCGCACACAAGCCTTCGTTTTCTTATTCTTTGCAAACAATGATTTCTCGAATGTGCGCAACTGGCATAGGCGCGAACAAGCCCGGACATCTCGAGATCCAACAGCCACGATCCAGTTAAAGCCAGTCGGATCCAGCCGATCTGGTAGACCACCTGGAATGTCACACGGTTTCGAATTCTAAAGTACCTCCGCTCGTACAAAATACAGTATGCCAAGGATAACGGATTAAATGCGCTTAAAATAATAATAAAGAAAGAATTAAAGTTAATCGGACGAGATTGCAGAATAAAGAAAGATTTTAACTCTTCCACATACATGAGAGTAATAATAAGAATTATGTTAAGTAAAATGTATATGTGTGATATATGTGTGCGTGCAGCTATTTCTTCAAACATCTCTTTCAATCCAATATTTCTGATCAGTTGTCCTCCAAAATCTCTTTAGTCTTTCTCATTTAATTATTAAAATAATTAAATGCATAATTATTAGCGAAATATTTTCACAATATTTTCGATATATACAAGTAAAATATTACGAAATAATTTCTAAATCATTAAGACCAATTAAATCAACATCGATTCATCATTCTTACATTTCTTACAATTAATTAAAAAACATTTTAAAAAAATATCTTTCTCTTAATAATATTTCTAATAAAAAGATATAGCATCAATTACAGATTATAGTATAAATATGGAAACAAAATTTTTAGTTAATTTGATTCATCATTTAATATAAACGTTCTAACACAATCGACGTTTTGATATCGATTCGCTTCGATCTGTTTCGAGTGTTTCGTAGGATATCCTTTTTGTATCTCTTGCACGTGTCGTATCCGCGATTTTTTTTTTTTGCTGGAACACTTTAAGAAAAAAGGCGTGGAAGGTCTCCGACGTCACAAGGAGTATACCGAATGAGGCCAAACTCTGCTGCGAAGAAAGAATGATAGTCGATCGATAGAGCAACACGTGGTTCAGGCGTAGCAATGTTTACCATAGGGATAAAAAAGACGAAATCTAATCCCGTATAAGACTTAGACAATTGTCAGGAATATTGCGCATCGCGCTGCATAACACACGTAAAATTATGACTGTGTTTATAATACTGTTATAATTCGACATTTTTCTTCCTGACTTTTCACGCTTTAAAAATATGATTTTATGCGGAATCAAGTTTCGACAATAACCGCAACAAATGATTAAAATTTATAATAAATTTATGATAAAAAATCTTAAAAATTTATAATATGTTATATATTATATAATTATTGTTTTTTACGATAGAGAATCTTAATTGATTTAATATCAATTTCAAATTTGGAGTCTCATGATCAATTATTATTTTAGCTTTTTGAAAAATATGAATTACATTTTTCTCGAAAAATAAAAATGTAATAAAAAAATATATCTTAATAATAAAAACAAATTATTGCCAATAATAGCAGCAATAGGCTCAGGATAAGAACAATCAAGTGGCAGATAAGAGTCAAGGCGCGGGTATCGGTGCGCGAATTTATTATGTTAAATTTTATTAACTAATGTGCATTAAAAATGTTTGTTTCGGATCGTTTTTTGGTTCAAAATACAATCATATTGTAAACCACTGACGATATACATGTGGCAATGGCGTTTTAATGTTGTCCACTTATTTGTATAGATTCCACGCGGGTTTTAATAAGCCTTTTTTTAATTATTAATTTTAATTTGAAGTTTGACTGCAACTGCAAGTGTTGTGTATGTTAAGTTTTAAAATTCCAATCTAATCTTTATATACTTATATCCATGCTGAAGATGAACCAAAAAACGGTCTGAAACATACATTTTTAATGCACATTAATTAATAAAATTTAACAATAATAAGTTCGCGCACTGATACCCGCACCTTGACACTTACCAGATCTTACCAGACTCTTACCTTGACTCTTCCCACTTTATTGAAATTATTGCCATTTTAACACACAAAGTTGATAATGTTGCATCAACCTAAATTGTCGCATTAGCGATTCTATATATAAACGCTGAATGTACTTCACGCATTATCATGTTCTTCTTCTACGTCGTTTTTATACCTTTTCCCGTATTTGCAATAAATGCCAACTCGTATTTAGAATGTATATTGTCGCAGTTAAAAATAATATATTAACTGTACATTTCGACAAACGTTGAAAATACGGAAGTATATCGTCAGACTTTTTCTATAT